AGATAGGGTGGTGACAATCGGCAATTTCAGTACATGTCAAGTAAGGCTACTAGTTAGAAGCCCTAGTAATTACTGGCTACGAGAAACGTACTCATCGAGGTTAGAAGTAGAGAAAGGATCGACCAAAAAGACTTCAGTCGAAACAAAAACTACAACGATCAATAAAGACCAAAATAAAAAAAAAACTTGAATGAAACTTTGCGGCTGGACAATCCGGCGTACACATCCACTGAAGAACATTTTGATGACAAAAGTTTGGTTGAATTCGAAGAAAGAGAGAGTGAGAGGGAGAGAGAAAGAGAAAGGGAAAAAGAAAGATAGAAAAAGAAAGAGAAAGAGACTGAGGGAAAGAGAAAAGGAAGAGAAAAAGAAAGATAAAAAGAAAGAGAAAAAGAAGGAGAAAGAGAAAGAAAAAGAAAAGAGAAAGAGAAAAATAGAGGAAGAGAGAAACGAGAAATAGAGAGAGAATAGAGGAAGAGAGAAACAGAGAGAGAGCGAGCGAGAGAGAGTTGAATTGAGGCTATAAACCTGAATGGCCTTTATTTGCTCACAAAATCACAACAGAAAGGTGAGTGCTTAGGATAACCAGGAACTGCACTATGTATTAAGTGCTTAACCTAGTCAACTTTACCTTCAAACAGAAAATAATGCTTGGAAACTAGTAATGCAAAGTCTTGTAGTGTCCGGTGGAATGATGAAATATTCATGATGCGAAGCAACTACAAAGACACCCACTATCACAAAAAAGGAGTAACGACCCAAAGGTCGCACAAAAAATCTAAAAATTCTATTATAAGTATACTGGCCTAGTAAAAAAAATAACGCAAAAATCTCTTGGATGGCCCCTTAGAAGCGAGTGCCTATCCGAGTCCTCATCATTCCAGCCCTCTACAAACGAGTAGCTCCTAAAATCCGAAATTCCTAGCCTAGAAAATAAAGGTGTTAGTTAGTTCATGTGATGTTGTAGTACTCCACGGAAGCCTTTGAACTACTTTTTGAAATAGGGAATGATTCCGTGACGAAAGACTTACTACAAAGACATTGTCTTTGGCCAGCGATCCATTTTACGGTTGAACTCAGCACCAGGGTAGATGAGAGTATTCAGCGGTCCTGACTTTATTATCCATTTTAGCCTGTATCATTAAGTAGAGAGCTTTAAATTGATAACGCATCCAAAAAGCATGACCTCCGGGTAGAACTATGAAGGTTTATTGAAATAGTACCGTACTCATCGATTGAAGGCAGCGACTTTCCTGCCTCATCAGTCATCTTTTTTCAAAAACAAAACTTGAACACGTGCGCAGTACGTCCAACGGGATTTAAGCACTGACACTTCTGAAGCCTCTACTTATCCATTACGCTACCGTTCCCCTATGAAATTGCAGTGTATTAGACACAAAAAAAA